GTCATTTTCTATGCAGCCCTATTGGTCTAGAAGAGGCGAAAATCTTGAAGTTTAAATTTGTCTAGACCCTCCTCTAACGGCGAAAGCATGTGTCATATATTGGGTATGAGCTATATAGGATGAGTGCTTGCCTAGAAGCGATATAGCAAGACTTTTTTTAGAACAGCGAAAGTTGTTGCGCAAAGTTTTTTTTTTACTATAAAACCATGGAACAGAAGATAGAGGCAATTTAGTGTTATAATATTTTATAAACTTTGAAAGCAGCGTTAACGACTTCACACTTTGGCGGAAACTCTTTGTCACGTAGGTTACTTGTAGTTTATGTAGTGTCTTACTTTATATATCGCACCTTTTGCAAAAGTTGTTATCATACTTCTAATACAAATGTCCAACATCATAATCCAATAGAAAACAAGTTTCTAAAACCTAATAATCTAGACACTGGCACTTTATAGATTCCACACCTTTCATTTTTCTAACAGTGAGGAGAAAGAGAGTTCTATACTAACTTGTAGAGGGATTAAGCAATTTTCAATTTTCTACGAAGAAATTCGCTGCTTAATTGCAAGATATAGCACAATATATTAGTTTGTTCAGGTCCCAACATAGTGCTTATCAATTGTGGAGGAAACCGATCCTTACAGGATATGCAGGTGCCTGAAGGAAGTAAATTATATGTTATGGACTCTCGGAGACCCTTCCATCATGAGAATATCTTCGAGGGCGGGCAGATAATGATCATGGTGGATAGTCTGGAGGTCGAAAAACTAAAGTAAATACGAGCATTGAGGCTTGTAAAGCAAACGGCTATCTTCAACTTCCAGTATACCAGAGATGTCTTCAATTATGGAAAATGATGAATCTGAAGATTCGGGTGAGGACGATGAAGAAGAAGGTGGTGGCAGAAGAGGAATGGAAAAGGTGGAACGAAGGCTTTTGAAGAAGGTCAGGGTTTCTGTTCAAAAATAGAGTAAAATTTCAATGTCTTTTTTTCTAGGAAGCGAAAAAACAGTGGCAAAAACGTCGACGGAATTTGTTGTGGAAGTATTACGAGAATTCATGGTACTCAATATCTGTGCGTTGAACTTGCTTTCTATGTAATTATCTCAATTGAACACAACTTCATTCTCATTTTAGAGTGCCGTACGTATGCTAGAGTTGGCTGCCTCTTTG